ATCTGTGTAGTTGTCTTGTGTAGAATTTCCATTTATTAGATAATTTTATAGTATTTTATTTTTCATCTTATATTCTTTTACGTGACATTTTGGAAGGCAGCGATTTAAAGAATAAGTCTTACTGTACTTAAGTTTGAGGAAGTGTACAACACAGCTGGGAAAGAAGTCAGGGAATGGTTTACTTGAGGTTCATTATTTGAAAGATTAGTCTTTGTTTGAGGATGCTGATAAAAGGAATTACCTGTTTTGATCTCAAGGTTTTGTCCTGCCTTTGACGTCCAGGATAATTGCACTTAGGTATTTTCTTTTATGCATGAATATCTGTAAATTCGTTGGCCTTGTTGACAACTGAGAAATGCAATTGGCCAAGAGGCACCATTTCAACTACTTAAACTGAACACAATATTGGGTGCAATATTTGTCTTAGTCATGTTCTCTCAAGTATTTGTGTTGGACAGAAAGCAATTCTTTTTTTTATTATATACTTTAGATACTTATGTCAAGCAACATTCTAGACAAGCCTTGTGGTCTTGTTAGCAATAGTCAGGATGTGGGAAGTCGCTGCTTGTATCCAGTCTCCCGTAAAGTCACCCTAAAGTCGGGGGAGTGTTGACAATCACCCTTATAAGAAGCAAAAACAATAATGCATAGATCTTTAATCCATCCAATCAAAATGTAAGCAAATACTCAGGAAAGAAGTTCATTCACATTGTTTTTCTCTGTCTTGCTGTCCCAGTATTCTGTCTCTTTCACTCTCTATTCTTGTGGTCTCTCACTTTGTCTTCTTGTCCTTCTTACTTTCTCTCTCTCTCTCTCTCCATCACCCCTTTCTGAATGTCTCTCTGATGCGATCTCAAGCCTTTTTTCTCCTATTTACTCTTTATTTTCCTTTTCTATTTCTTTACCTCCCTTCTCCCTCAACCACACACTTACCCTCACCCTAACTCCTCCTTACTACACCTTCATCCTCATCCTGATTTTCATCCTCATCCTGATTTTCATCTTCACTTCACCTTCATCCTCACCCTCGCCCTCCCCACTCCATCTCCTCTTCCCTTTTCTCTTTCTTTCACTTTCTCTTCCTTTCCTCTTCCCCTTTCTCTTCCTCTCCATTTCCATCCTCTTTCTCTCCCTCTCCATCAGTGTAACATCTCAGTATCATCAGATTGTTAATAGGGCATACACTTTAAGCTGGTTTATATACTCATTGTTGCAATGTGCAGATTTACATTGTAAGTATATCATGGCTGTGATGCTAGTAGCCCTAGTATTTTCAGAATTAGATAGCATGCAGAAGACTAGTAGACTACATTAACGTGACAATATCTTCAGATTAGGATTGAGGTTGCAAAGCGAACCATCAACTATGGCTTTCGTCTTGTAAGCAGTGAATGATTGGAAGGATTTTATAAAGGGAACCATTGGCTTACTTTCTTGTGACTATACTAAAGTTTTGAGAAATTTGGGTGTTAGGATTGTACTGATGGTATTTTGAAAGCTGAATAGTAAAGACACTTTTTTTGTATATATGTTTACTTTTTCATGGTTAGATGTTTACTTTTGATGTTTGTAAGATTTTGATGATTTAGATTGCCTGAATACAAGATGTGCATGGAATTCTTTGTATATACCATTTATGTGCAATGGAGTTTGGGCAAATCTTGTGTTTGGTAACAGAAGTAGACATTACAGAAAGAAGATAAAATACTGAAAGATATCATGAAAAGAGATAAGCATTGTTTGACTTATATCACGTAGATATGAAATAAGTTTTGTATGCAGATAGAGCTTTTATGATGTTTGAAGGTTATTTTCCAAAGGAACATGAAACTTGAAGAGAAATTACATTCAGTGTACTTATCTCACATTACAGAGAGTCATTTTATAGCCAGTAAAGATGCTGATGCTTGACTGTGCAATTCAGTATATGCGGTGTTTACTATGCACTATTGCTTCTCAGTGAAAGGTAATGTTAGTGTTTGCATAGGCTTACTTATAGATAGAGATGGTTCAGTGTGTGGAGGTCGTTCTGTTCATTATTACTTTTTATAAATATTATGTTTATTTGGGTTAAATAAATTACTAAATAGAGAGGCATGATTGTGATTTATAACAGGTTCAGATCAGCACATTCATTAATTAAGCCATTAAGGCATGTGCACTTGATTTACACACACACACACACAACACACACACACACACACACACACACACACACACACACACACACACACACACCCACACACACACACTCTCTCTCTCTCTCTCTCTCTCTCTCTCTCTCTCTCTCTCTCTCTCTCTCTCTCTCTCTCTCTCTCTCTCTTCTCTCGTCTCTCTCTCTCACACACACACACATACACACACACACACACACACACACACACACACACACACACACACACACACACACACACACACACACACACACACACACACACACACACACTCTTTCTTTCTTTCATTCTCCCTCCCTCTCTGTCTGTCCTTCCCTCTTTCCCTCCTTCATTTTCCCTCTCTTACTATCTCTCATTTATTCTCCCTATCTATCTCCTTCTCCCCTCCTTCCCGCCCTTTCTGCAGTTTCACCTGTACATTAATGGCAGCTGATTTTGACCCATAGAAGCCTCAGAGAGAACTTATTCAAAATGGGACAAAGTAGCAACAGGGTTAAGGTATAACCTTAAAATTCTAAGGCAGCAAAGAACAGCGACTCCACATTTACAGATTCTTGTTTTCTTATTTTCTCTTTGGAAAGACATTTAGTTTACATGTAAGGGAAACATTTTTTCTGTTTCTTTTTTAATGGTTTCAGACTAGCAGGCTCTAGGGTGTACATATTCAGAATCTTTGGCAAGTAGGGTTTAAAGATATTGGATATTCTAGGTAAGATGATTATATGACCCATATGAATACTCCCTACTTTTATTTTCGTAGAAATGTTATTTTATTTAGCAAATACCTTTGTATATTTTTTTTTCTCTTGATGCTGTACAGAGTTGATAAAACTCAGGTACCTGCTGATATGTGTTCCTTGTTTGTAAAACATTTGGTCACAAGATAGAGCAGTAGCAGGTATGGATGATAATGCTAAAATGTTCAAATATTTGTAGTATGCATATGTGGCTTTTTTTTTTTAAGCAAGTTGTTGAAATGTCACTTTTTGGCTTGTAATTTATATAGAGATGTTGATATTTCTTGGCATATTTTATTTTTAGGTGTTGCTCTTTGTAACGAGAAGCAATTAGAAAGCAGTACTGTTGCTTGACCTTCCTGTGATTTATTTACAGAGAGGATTAAGTAAACCCCAACAAATGTTTATTAAATTTATTTTTGGTATATTGGCAGAGGTGGCAAGATCTTTTCAGGGTAGAAGGGGAGAATACTCAAGACAGTGAAAAAATGGAGCATATATTGATATTTGCTAAAGTGGGAGAAAAATTGTTAGTAATGATTTATTTAGGTTTTTATAATGTGCAATGTATTGTTTTGCTTGTTCTCTCAAGACCTGTAAGGGTGTGTCTTACCAAGCCGTCAGTGAAGCTACTTTGTGAAATGCCAAGCGTATGTGTCTTTGTGTTTAGTTTTTCTTATGAGTGTGTTTGTGTACATCTTTTATGTTTGTATATATTAAGATGATTTGATGTATATTTGATTTCCTCCCCTTGTTCACTCTGTAAATATATTAAACTTTATAACTGTCTTCCAAATCTTGAAATGGACCAATAAGTGTAGTTTTCGTGTGTTATTGTGTGTTTGGCATTAGGTAGTTGATCCTCCTTGTTTGATATTTGGAAGTGCCTTAAGGATGTACGAAGCTGTGAAGCTGTGTTTGTGTGTACATGTACATGTTTGTACATAATTATGTACGTGCATGTGCAAGTGTGTGTCATGTGGCTATGATTTCCAGTAAGTACCAAAGAATGCAGATAGATTACTTGGCTGTCCAGAAACTTACAACTGCCTGATAAATGAATAAATGTTGGTCCCAAAACACCAGTGGTTTTAAGGGATGCATGAGAATGTTTTCTGTGAACAGACTGACAGGCAGTATTTATGTAGGGAAGAGCCACAACTGCAAGCCTTATTGTAGGATATGCATGTAGGTAGATACTGACAGTACTGTTTGAGAAAAATTATAAGATATAGACCTAGTTTTGCCAGATGTTACCATGTGTATGATCAAAAGTATATTTATATATACATGTGGTGGATTCAAATTATTTCAGGTAAACTTTTGTACTTGGCTTGTTAAAACTGTTTAACAATTTGAATGCTTTAATTTTTTACTCTGGATGAAATATTTATTAGAATTTAAAATTCCTGTATGGGTGGAGAGCCTTTTTTCTGATGCTCACCATTTAGTAATTTGTAATCAAAATCAGACTAATAAAATTTAGACATAGTTATATACCAATTCTGTGTTTAGGGCTTATTGAATCTCTGGATATCCTTAGAACTCTCCAGCAAGGCATAATGGTGTTTAGGTACTCTACATATTCAAAGTGTTCAGTGTTGGATAATATATACCGAAAATATGTAATAACAATCATTGATGGAAAAGCTTCATTTATATTGATTACGTGACCCTGCTGGATGGAGAACTTTATAGTAGGAAGCAGCTCAATGTGGTCTGCTGCTGTAACGGTAGGGGGCGAGTTTTGCTTTTTAAAGACTGATTGTTTAGGCTTTGAAGTTGTGGATGAACTAACCAGTGACTATGCTACAGGGCCTATAACCTGAAGTTTAGCACTGTTATAAACAAAAATCAAAAAAACAAAACAAAACAAAATAATAAAAACACCTTATGTCACATTCCTGTGTGATGCTCCTCTGTACCCGGGAAGGAATTAAAGCTTAGGACAAGTTCCGTCAGTTTTGTTTCTTTATCCTTGGTCGGGTGTCGGTCTCTTTCCTTCCCCAATACCATTCCCGTTGTTGTTGTGGGCTGGGGGCTTAGGAGACGAAGACTTAAGCCCAATATTGGGATCACTCCTACCTCA